GGCTAAGATTCCAGCAACTCAACCAGGTCATTCCTGTTTATCCCTTTCACGAGTTTTATCAAGGAAGCAACATCATGTCCCTCACCTGTGCCCCAGCAGTCCAGTAATTTTTTTGCAGGATTTGCATCCTGAGCGAATTCTTGGACTTGCTCGTAATTGTACTTCATGTCTCCTGCCAGAGTTCTCCAATCATTAGGAATGTCGAGGTTTAGTTTTCTACAAAATTGTTGATGAGTCCCTGCATTTAAATCTCCGATTTTTAAACCAGATAGTCTGTGAGGCGCTACGGGAAATATATGAAAATTAATGACTGCCCAAGCAAGAACTATCCGTCCAATAGACCTTTCCCCTTATGAGTGAAATTTTGATCTAGATATGCCTGGACAAACATTTCATCACAGCTTGAAAGAGCATCACAAAATTAGTAATATTCCGAAGTTTCGTTGCGAAATGTTGTAAAATGCGGATGATATAGCCCTGAAAAGTTTGCCGTTTTTCAGATGATCAAACTGATTATCAATTTCCCATTTGTAATACAAAATGACTGAAAAACGGCAAACTTCGCAAGGCTATAATATCCGCATTTTACAACATTTCGCAACGAAGCTTACTGGAATATTACTAACTGGAATATTACTAATTTTCTGACGCTCTTTCAAGCTGTGATGAAATTTTTGTCCAGACTTGTCTAGATCAAAATTTCACTCAAAAGGGGAAAGGTCTATTGTGAAATAAAAAGTAGTTTGGGAAGTTCCATACCTGTAGATGAGCTAGTTTCAGCAGGCGGTGTGACTACTTCAGGAAGAAATACATTATCATTATAGTCTGTGGATAGGAGGGAAGTCGTTTCATCTGGAAATGAATAAATGATTGACTCATCTTGAACTTGAAGTAACCATTGTATAAATTGAATAGTTTTAGAGGTTTGTATCTGCACTACGTGAAAAAGATATCTCAATATAAAGTCTTAGGTCTTACCTGTAGTTCCTTTTTTCTGCGCGGAGTTTTGGCGGCTAAAAATGCGCCCTATTTTTCCTAAGGAATGAAGGAATTATTGTCAATTTTGTATCCACACTAGCGCAGATATAATGATATTGAACGGGAAGTTTGTCGGTGTGTTAGCTCGCAGTCAATCATGAGCAACTCAGCCAATCAACAACCAATATTATTAAATTACGCCATTGTATTGTGCGGGTGATCCATGTTTCCACATGCGTAAAGTAATATCGCCTTTAGCATGGAGAGAATTTTAAAAAATAAAAAATACGAATATTGATATTTGTACTATAATTACCTGACGAGCTAGATGGAGTCCGTTTTCGTTCAAGAGTTTTTCCTTCAAAAGCATTCTCTGCTGACAATTCATTAACAGCAGCAGGAGTTTGTGCATCCCCTGGACCTGGACGAACAAAGTAATTCTATGCGTACTACTACTGTATATAAGTTTACGTTTTCAGTAAACAAATTTTTTTTTTGGGGGGGGGGGATAAACCTAGCTGTGACAATTATCTTTTGATCATGAAAGCATGGTTATAGCTACAGATTAAGGTGGTTCGATATAATTATCACAACCGGGTGACCATTTTTACGCGCAGGTCGCGGAAACTGATTAACAAATGAAAGAATTAAGCTACGTTTAAGCTACGTTTACACGCTGCGATTTGTCGGGTCGATTTTGGTAAATAATCAATGCCCTTTCTTCGACATTTAGCGATTTAAACGTTCAATTGAAGCTGTCCCGCTCTCTCGTCTGTTTATATTATAGTTTTCTGCGCGCGAAAAGTTTTCAACAATTTTACAACGGAAGAAAAATCGTTGAATCGTGAGAAAAATCTGTGTTTTGTTACAGATTTTTCTCCCGATTTTGTGAATCGCAAGGTGCTGACGCGAGTACTCACGACAGGTTATTTACATACAGCGAGCAAAATCGGCCCGACAAATCGCAGCGTGTAAACGTACCTTACACGCGTAAAAATCATCATGCTGATGCAAGTTGTTCAAAACAGGAGCGAACAATGTTGTGCTGCACCCCGTGAACAATATTGTTAACAAGTTGTTGAACCATCAACATTGTTGCAACTTGTTGACAATCATGTTAACAACTTGCAACAGCACTGATGGTTGAACAACTTGTTAACAATATTGTTCACGGGGTGCAGCACAACATTGTTCGCTACTGTTTGAACAACGCCGAACAACCTGATCAATTTTTACCCGTGTATATTATACAAATAATGAATGTTTATGAGTGCAATGGTAAGAATATTTTCATGAGGTGAAAGATGGAATGTTCCATTCAACGAGGCGACAGCCGAGTTGAATGGAACATTCCATCTTTCACCGAATGAAAATATTCTTACCATTGCACGAATAAAAACATTCATTATTTGTTTTATATAATACCAAAATAGACTAATATTTAAAGGTTTACTGTAAGCTCCCGCCATTTTGACGAGTCGTATTTGCATTAAATCCCATCTACTGAGTTTCGAATATCGGGTTAAAATAAACTGCGATCACCGTACGAGAAGCATTTTGACGGATGCGATTTATCGAAAACACAAAGAGTGCAATGGAATAAAACGTATAGTGCAATTGCACTCGCAAGAGTGCAATGGAACCTGGACGTATTCCATTGCACTCTTGGGAAATGGAATTTTCTATTCAATATCACGTGATCATAAACAGCCAATTAAACGATCAGAATTCAATAAGGTATTATATAAAGCGTTTTATGTCAATTCCTAACGTCATTAGAATTTTCCATTTTAGAAAAACAATGTGTTGTATCTCTTTATTTTGTCTGGTGACCTATGTTCAAATTTTGCATGCTGTATTGCACCGCTAAAAACTTTCATTTTACAAAAAATAAAAAAATTCTGTAATGCCAAAAAAAATTTACCGAAGAATATGACATTTTCGCATTTTCCAAAAAAATGACATTACAGAATTTTTTTATATTTTGCAAATTGTCAGCTGTTCGTCCAAGTAAAATAATGCACGAAAAAAATTGGGGGTCACCATGCTTCTTTTCCAACTATACGAGACGAAAGGCCATTTTGGAGTTAATTTCGTACACGTATGTCGTCATAACAACGAACTATCTGTTACTAAAACTCAGTGGCGTGCTGGGTACTATTTTTCTGGAGGGGCCAGTGGGCTGTCAGCCAATATGCGCCCCTATAATGTTACACTTGATAAACGAGGGCCGAAGGCACGAGCCGAGTGCCGCAGGTGCGAGGTTTGTCTAGGGGGGTCCGGGGGCATGCCCCCAGGAAAATTTTTGAATTTAGAGTCTCTGAAATGCCATTTCCTGGACTTTGGGGAAAGATTTGACAGAAATCTGATGGTCAGGAAACGGCATTATAACGTGTCGAAATTTGCAATTTGGTTAGAATTTATGAGTAGTACTTAAATTATGCAATGCTAACTACTTCCAGCGATTAATCTAATCCCAATTCTGTTCTCTACTGATCTACTGTTCTGAGCACATTTACAACTTAAAGCTCTTTTATACAATAACACACGCACCCCACGCACATGTATTTTAAGGTTTCTTTGCCTGGCTGCCAAAAGGGCATGTTTCAGCATTATTTCATTACTTACATTACTCATGCTTCTTGTGCAAACAACTAAATCGCGTACACAACTTTACATCAGTTATCATAACTTCAACTATCTAATTTGCGCCGCTCTCGTGATTCGTGAAGCATAATAAAGGGCATAATATAAGGGCATAATACCAGAAAAAAGGGCATAATTCTCGTGATCGCTTCGATTGAAACCTGACCAATATTCCGGTAATGAGACATTGCCTGTGATCACTGATCATGTTTCTATATGAACGATTTCGTGTGAGCTGTGAGGTAGCAAATACGGTTAGGCAAAATAGTCTGTAATTTAATATATGTCGCCAATGCGCTTCGTCTGTTTTATACTGTAGCCTATAAACACGTCTTTTCTTGGCGGAAGTAACCATATTTTTTCGAGAATGCATTTTTTCCGACCCACTTTCAAAATTCGGCGCCCCTTTTTCATTTTTGCGCCCCCCAAGAATTGCCAACTGGGGGGGGGGGGCGTGGCCCCCCGGCCCCCCCTGCCAGCACGCCACTGCTAAAACTAATATAATTTGAAAGTAGAGTGATCAAGATATATAAAAACCCCAATATCTGCTGAATAAATCCTAAAAATGCGTAGTTTGAACATGTCAAAGTGTTAAACACCTGAATTTTTGAAAACTGTATCGAGCCACCTTAAGCTATATATATACTGCTTGGAAATTAAGACATAGAACAAAAGGTGGTCATATGATGGCAAGCTACAGTAAGTCCCCCCCCCTTAAGTAACCCCTAGACACTTTGCAATTTTTAGACCAGCCACAAATGATATTATTCATGCTTGTGTTACAAATATGTACAAATTCCTTTCTTTTACATAACATACTTTCGCCACTGAAGTCCAAGCCATTGTTGGAATTTGAGGAAATCTGTCGACTGAAGAAAACCTTTCGTTCACCAAAGCTAGCTGAGGATTTTCTTTTCCTGACAGTTGCAACGGCAGGCTGGACAGTCTCACCAATGGCACTATCAGCTGAAATGATCAGAATGGCTAACATGTGAATCAGGGTTGAAATTAAATTTTTTTCTCAGTATCCACTGTTACAAATTGCAATAACAACAGGAAATTCAACAGTCAACAACTACAGTAGACAATTCATTAAGACACAAAAATGCACATGATACGAGGAAAGGCTTGGGTGGCAAACTCATAGTATTCCAAAAGATCTCCAAAGCTATCACCCGTACGAAAAGTTACAGCCCGACTGAGCGAGATTCTGGCCAGTATCTGGCCATAAACCAATTAAAGCAGCGGTAATTGAGCGAGACACAACCAGACATTGGTTTTGTCTCGCTGCCTGTTACGAACGAGACATTTGTATCGCTTGTTTATGGCCGAGAATTTGGCCTGAATGAGCATGACATCGCAAGACAAATTGTCTCGCTTAAACGAGACAATTGTCACGCTGCTTTTACAGCGAAACATGGACGATAATATAGCGAGGCAGAGCGAGACAAGCAACAGAAATTCCTTTGCGTGCCATGAAAATGTGAGATTATTATCATATCCGGCGAAAATTGAAAGAAACTGAGCACGACAAGAGCGTTACGTTAAAAATTTAATTTGTTTTGTCTCGGATGACAAGGCGCGCAATTTGAGTTGGTTTTATTTTGCTGTACACACGCATCGCTTTCAAGCAGCGAACCATACACGGTCGGTCGAACAAGGGAAAAGTTGCGGATTTTCAACAATGATCATCGTTATATATTGCACTGTATTCTCGGTAATTCTTCAGCCAGGCGACGTTGAAGTCAAATGATAGTGTCCCTCGCAAAGTTTCTGTGCGACTTTGAGATTCAAGGCGTTGGCAATATATGCATTGGAGACAGTCTTCAAGTTTCTTCTAAATGTAAGTATTATTAATCTCAACGTTTACCTGTTCTGTACAGTTTTGCGCGTGATACCGCAATACATAATTTACTTTAAATGTAATTATTAAGGCCCACACAGACCGAACGCGATTCGACAACGCGACGCGAATTTGCAGATTTTAAAAACAAATA